ATAATATAGCAGAGTCTGCATTCAAGCTGTGTGAAAGAACTATGAAGATCATGATCTGTTGCAGTTTTCTTCTAGTCTGATTTTCTTATGTATTGTGTTGTTCTGTTTGTGGAGGAAAGCATTCAGTCGAAATATTTGTTTTGTCATCTTGTTCATTATTTAAGTTGCACTTATCCTTTTCTTCTTCTTAACAGTTCTAATATTTAACAATCAGATTCATTTATCTCAGGGAGTTCAGATTCTCAAAAAAATATCTACACATTACCTTAAATTTAATGGGAATAAGTTATACAACATAAAAATAAATAGAACAATCTCTCAACATGTAATGGTACTGACCTTTTTGTTACTTTTTAAAGTCTCTGAAGTTTTCTCTGCCTTGACAGGGGTTCCAGGTGAGTTTACTTTACTCCTGTCAATAAACCAACCCTGGGCAGGAGTTGCCTTGGATGAGTCTCCATTGGGCAAACCCATTTCTAGTGCATGAGAGTTGACCGAGGCTGGATGTTGGACTGTCTCTGATGGAAGGTTGGGTTTGGGTTGTCTGTACATGTTGCTTATCATTTGGTTCATGATATTTTTATCCTAAAGCAATGTAAATAAATTTTGAATTAACAAAATAAAGATACTTATCTCATGCGAGGCTGGGGGAAAATTGGAGGGAGAGTGTTGGGGTATCTCTCTATTCATTAAGATTAAGTGAGTAATTTTTGCAATTCAAAAATATCATAATCAGTAGAATAACAAGATTTACAGTTTGAACAAGAATTCAAAAGCTTACATATAATGTTCAGCAGCAAAGTCTGTGGTAATCATATACATGAGACTGACAATTTTTTTAAAACGTTTATGTATGTAACTTCAAAAAGACATTAGCATATCCAGGTAATCAAAATCATCTTTAATCCACAAGGAATAAGTACATATAAGAATTTGTAAATTTTTGCCAATCTGTTTAAAAACAAACCATCAGTTATTGCCTAATTTAAATGCTCACCTCATATTCAACAACTTCAGATTCTGTGTCACTGCCACTAAAATACATTGGAGGAGGAAAACCATTATTTGCAACCAAGTTATTAAAATCAAATTGGCAATCAAAATGTTTAATTAGTGAAAATTAGGTTTCTTTTGGATCATATTGCAATAAATGTTTACATCCCATGTACTGAAGACATCTATTTTTATAATATATTGCTACTAGAATTATTTTTTTTCAACTATAAGAATACATAATACTTTTTATGGGGTAAACAACAGTATTTTTTAACAACAAGACATCTAGGATAAATTATTAAAATTAAAAGTGAAATTTCCATTAATCTTGTCACTGTCAGTACCTGCTTGTGTCATGAGAAGAAACATGAATGCCTTCTTTCTTCAATTCCTTTGCAGCAAAAGCAAATCCTTTTTTTTTAAATACATATTTTTTAAAAATATTTAAGTACATTAAGTTTGGTAAAATAATTCATTTGTAAAATATTATATGTTTTTTTAATCTATAATTTTCTGATATACTTGGTCTTTTTTTATAAAATTATTGCAAAACTTTTTGATCTATTAAGTCTTTACATTAATGAGACAGCTTGTTGCTATAACTATTACACTATGAGAAATAAACCATGATTGTGCTTTGATAGTTCTTCAATAATTTGAAAAATATAACAAACTGAACACTGTCTTTTTAAATTTTGTATAACACATACATGTATCACACTACAGTTTCAATAATGTATATAAAAAAGGAGTTAAATTGGAAATATTTGTCATCAACTCTGAAAAAATCATGTATTGCATGAACAATAGTCTTAAAATTTAGAATAAAGAAAAATCTTACCCTTCTCTACAGATTTGAGAAAAATATTTTTCTTTCTCCTAGCGTATTCACTGAAAAAGGTTAAGTTACGTAAAAAATTATATTTATAAAAAGCTTTTTCTTAAGTCTTAAATGTAAGTCTTGCAAAATTAAAGAATAAATTTAAAACTATTAAAACACAAAATAAGTAAATATTAAGATAATCCATAACTCTCATAAACTGATGATTAAAATAATTGTATTTTTATAAAATATTTGTGCAAAAATTAATTCTTAATTTATTTATTAAAAAAAAAAAATTATTATATAACCTGTGTTGGGTCTGTAACTGTTCAGTCAAGGTTGATATGTTAACTCTTCCACCCTGACCTTTCAAAATCTATTTTATAAAATAAAATTTTATTTTCAAATATTAAGTTATTAAGTTTAAAAATGGTTGTGTTTCAGAAATCATGACAAACCACTATGACTTCCTTGACTCATTATAAAAATAAAATAATAATTAAAAAATATTTGACAGCACACGGATCTGGGAACATTATTATCTATTATCCCGGAATAAATGTGTTTATGCTGATAGCAATCCTTTGAGACTTGAGTTATTTATGGGCTATTTTATTTCAATTACCAGGGATTCTTAACCACTAAGATTTCCATTTTAACCACAAAGGAAAATTTACCCTGGTCTCAGAATCTTTGATGTAGTCTACTTTTATAATGGTAATTGAACATTGATAATTAAAACATTTTAAAAAAAATAAAGTATTTTTTTTAAAGTACATTTTATTCATAAACAATAAACCTGCTTACATTTTTTCCTACTTAAAATTAGTTTTGCTATAAAATTCCATAATTTTTTAACATTTCAAAACCTTTAGGTCCAACAACAAATATCGGCTAATTTGGAGAGATTAGCCATTTGCCATTTGCGTGTTTTGTCCCTAGTTCCGAAAGGGTCAAAACCCAGGTTAAGGATAAGTTTAGGTTTAGGGATACATTTAGGACAATATAAAATGAGTAAAACAGAGTAGGGTTAAACCTGAAGAAAGAAACGCAACAAAACAACGAATGTGTCGGCAGAAAACCTTTGTCAGCGAACAATGCAACAGAAAACACGGTATAAAATATAAATATTTCTTTTGCTGACCACAGATACTACGTCCAAGCTAAGTGATATTTCTTATTTGTATTTTTATACCGTTTTTTCTGTTGATTTGTTCGCTGATGAAGGCTTTCTGCCGAAACGTTAGTTGTTTAGTTGCTTTTCTTTCTTCAGTCTTCAGGTTTAACCCTACTCTGTTTTACTCATTTTAGATAAATAATTAACCTGATTGAAGTCTCTCCCCTTATTACCCTACATTTAGAAGATAAGTTCGCGGCAACCAAGATGGCGACTGCGGTGCTATCTCTCCAAATTTATCCAAAAATCAATATCTTAAGTAAGTAAGGGCAAGGCATAGGCACTTTGACTTTGGTCTTCAATTTACAGTTACAGGCCTATGTCTACTAATACTACTATTATTAATATATTAATTTTAATTACTGTTACAAGCTACACCCACCCCTGAAGCAATACTTCAATTCTATTTTATTGCCTTTAGTAATTAAAAGTGGCTGAGTGGCGTTAGCCATGCTTCACAGATAAAAAAAAAAAAAAGCTCGCACCTGTTTTATACGAGGAACTAGACGTTCATCAAGAAAATATGGTGTTTTCGGCATGGTAGGTGGCCTCTTCTCTTACTGTTTACTCTACAATACAGCATAAATATAGTTTAGTAACTAACATAGTTGGAAAGTATAATGTAACTGTAATATTTTATGATAGTTAACATCAAGCGTTTCTTCTTCATATTTAATAAATATTTATAAGATGTTGTATACGATTCAGTTTTATCATTGCTTCAAGCCAACAAATCAAATCAGTCACATTTATTTTTTCCTTGTTTCGCTTTTAAAAGAATCAAAGATATGGGTAGTCGATTATGTAGACTTTTAAAAAATGTATGGGTTTCGATTCTTTTATTTTGTTAACAATTTATCGATACAAATATGACCATTTTTACCTCTTTATCTTCAGTTTATTACCTACCCTTACATTGTGGCGGAGGGGCGGTAGACCCTATGGTGAGAGTGAGGAAAAAAATTAGAACGGCGTCGGCGAGAGCAGATATATACGCTCTTACTCTTAGTTTTATTTTATGATAACTTACCTCTCAAAACCTTCACCCCGTCATAAATATTTACGCATAACCCGAATATATATATATATTTTTTAATAACAAAAGTAGGCTACACATACTTCAGAATTATTAAAAGTTATGAATTTCATTTGAAAACCAGACACTAAAAGTAAAGCTCCGAAGACTTTCAGACGGTTTGAAAGTAGTGAGTTGTACTGGTATTTGTTTTGGCACTCAAAATAAAGTGATGAATTACATTTTTAAAAGACATGGGGAAATGATTTAAAATCCTGTCCTCTGACACTACATAAATAATTGATAATGAAAATGATCCGATTTTCCCATCTTCGTAGCTGTATCCTTTCTTTTAATTGAACTATTCGGTTTCTTTTGTAGTTGTTATCCGCGCTAAAGAAAGATTTCAGCCGATTTATTTGTTCTTTTGTTTGTTTTTAAGTTGTTGGGGTTTTCTTTTTTTAGCTGCTATCAATTTTTAGAGACATGGATTACCAAAGTAGAAGGTGGCCTATTTGTATTTTTGTTGTTGTTTGTTTGTTTGTTTGTTTTTTTTTTGTTTTTTTTTTTGGCCGTTGACTCTCCAATATTATGCATAACATTTTTATCACATTTTGACATCTCACCAAGTGTGATAAATACATCAAAAACTTAATCACAATTAAAATATAGGCGTACAATAACTTCAATTTGAATGTAAGCATACATGATATATGGTCAATATGGATATACGGATATACTATATATATAAAAATTACAACTCCACATGCTTCATTCATCAATGTTACCAGTAATAAATTTTTTATCCCAAATGCGCATCTGAACACAGAGGTGAGGATGGTGAGAGACTTAAATTGGCTTGTGGGGAAACACGACAAGAAAAGATAGTTAACCTTTTTTTAAAAACTGACTAAAACGCCCTGAGGGAAGACGACATTGACAGTTCTAATGATTAGAACCACTTCGGGGTAACATACAAAAAAATAAGAATATTCTTCAAACAACATGGCGGCATTCAGTGTTGTCATGCGTCCTCTATCGTCTGTAACGTATCGGCAAACACATATATTTAAAAGATTTTTCCAAGTTCATATTAGCAAAAACAATTTAATTAGTAATTATCACCAAAAGAATGTATATGCACTCCAAATATTGCCTAACACATGCTATAAAACTTCGTTTTCATTAATTAAACGCCATGAAAGTAGTCAAAGTCAAAACAAACCGCCGTCACCTCCGACTCAATCATTTCAATGCTTGTCGAAAGATACTCCGCTATCAGACTTAAACAATCCAAATTTAAATAATACTAAAGATGAAAAGAAATCAGATGAAAGTGGTAAAAAAGATTCTTTTTGGCGCGGAAAGAACTCCTGGCGTTTAGGCTTGATATTACTAGGTACATGCTGTGTCAGTTGGGGTGTTGGACTGGTGTATATTTGGGGTAAGTTGCAAATTGTAATCAAATGATATTGTTACAAAGACAATAATCTTGCAACCTTAGTACTTAGTGTGTTAATTTAGTTTTTGTTCTCTTTATTATGCCTGAGGACACGGCCAAAGATAGTAGCCACTAACACTTCTGTCCTGTACATGAGCTGCTTCTCGAGACAAAACTTGGGCTGGTTTTGAGTTAGCGGTAAGGCCGACAATGTGTTCCATGGTATATAGTTCACGGAGGTTCTCCCAGGTCCATTTCCGTCGACAGTGCCATACTAAAAAGATTTCAATGTTTGTATTTACATAATGCAAGTCATTGTTTTATTATTTTATATTTTTTGTTAAATTCCTCCCCAGTTCCTAGAATAGGTATTTCAAAAGACGCACGCGCATCCCTTCTGCGCAGTCGAAAAATCACGGAAAAACTTGAGCTGCAATATAGCTATACGGCATAGCGAGGGTGTCGTTTTTTTGCGTTGTACGTCACTGTTTCCTAATAATAGTATTTAAATTATCGGTGACGTGGAGCACATATTTTTCCAAACATGTGAATACCATATTTACAGCATTTAGAATCTTGTGACCGGTAACGCATTTAATTTTTCATCGGTATGTACGTTAATTGCTTATTACTTTTTAATGTAAAACTCAAACACATAGTGGTTTAGCCCAATACTGCTTCATTCATTCACACATTTTAATAACTTTACTTCATTAAAATTAGCTCAAACGCACAAAAGTTATGCCAATCCAACTGGAAGGTGTAAGAAAATAAAATTGTTAGTAGTCACCCGAGTCATCCCCCCTCACAAAAAAAAGTGGGTTGTCGGAAATGGTTGTTATTACCAATTTAACTTAAAGATATTTTCATTTATTCATTATAGTTCATCTTTGATAATCCGTGGTAGACTAATTAGTTAATAAAGGGAAAACTGTTTTACAATATTATTAGAAAGTAGTACAACTTAATAAATTAAATAATTTTAAATAATTGTAGTTCGTGTAGTCCGGTGAATTTCGGACTTGTTTTGTCCCTTGATTTATATAATTATTATATGTAGTAGTAGTAATACTACTACTATAATATATAATGCTAGTTATTAGTGGTATTTATAAATTATAATTAATGATAATAACAAAATAAAAGCAGTTGCTACCACTATTAAAAATATACTATTATCAATTGTAATTCCAATAAAATATGGTAATGCATAATTATTTTTTTTTTCGTACATATTTATTTTTTGTGAAAATTGCGTCACTGAGTCACTGTGACTTGTTTAAAATTAAAATTAGATAACCTATGAATTAGTCTATAACAAGTTTATTAAAATAAATAAATAAATAAGACTCTACATCATCATAGTAATTATATCAAACTAGGACAGAGGCATAAGAAAATGTTAACATTTATATCAACAATAATATATTTCTAATTAAATAAACAAAACAAAAAAAGGAAATAAATTTAATAAAAACATCACTTGAATAATATTAAAAAGAAACTAAAAATTGTATAGATTCAGAATTATGATTAGTATTTAATGTTAGGCTTCTTTTGGGTGGAAGAGAAAATTTTACATTTCTGTTGCAAACTTTGGAATTCCTTCCATGGCCCATATCCAATAAGGCGGAATGTTTGGATGCAGATGGCGGCGACAAAGTTTATGAAGGAAAAATGTGTGGGTTTCATCAACAAGACAAAGAAGTCACTATAGGGCATTCTACCCGGAAAATGGCAGGCAGAAGATCCCCATTACCTTTTAAATATTTAATGACATACTCCGATAAGGGTATGCTTGTAATTAGTTTTATGGGTGATATTAGTATTTGTTATATATAATTACATGCGTTCAATTTTATATATAAAAAAAGACTACTTACCTTTTTATAAATATAATGATTTAAAATTTAACACAAGCATAATAAAATTAGTTAAAATTCAATAAACATGTTATTTTTTTCAATTTTTCCTGTATAAATAATGATTTTCCCAATTTTTCTGTTCACTTTTTTCTGAACATACCCTCGATTAAATATATAAAAAAATAAAAGTCTTGATGTTATATAAAAGTTTTGTTGTTTATTGTGTTGTATATTGCATTGAGAATGTCTCCTGAAAGTTTGGTAGCATTATCTTTTAAAATAAAAAAGTTGTGGACAAAATAAAGCAGAAATGTGGAAAGTTGGTCACAAGTTTTTTCGTTAAATACAAAGATAAATAAAGGGGTTAAAAAATTCACCAAAAAAATCATAACTTTTTTTCCATAAAAGATAGAAAGATGAAATTGGTGTTTTTGCAAAGCTTATAGCGAGCCCTTTAAAATGGTGTATCATTTGTGGCTATTGGACAATATTTAAAATGTGTGTCAAAGTACCTACCTAGAAGATTATTCCAAAGCAATTTAAGCAGTAGTCTTCCTTTTGTTACCTAAATACTAATATGGATATTTTGATTTCAACTAATCAAAATACAGCAATTTCAATATTCATATTAACTGTATCGTTTATGACGTGAGTAATGCTCAATAAAGCACAGGAATGTTATAAAAAACATTGTTCAGGTCCTTCAAAGAATAGATCTGTTCACCCTAAGTCCAGTGTTGGGATTCCCCAATGTGACTTCACTGCGCTTAGGGTGAGAAAACTCTTGGCAAAACTCATACCGTTAACTCAAAATTTACCCAAAACTTGTGGCTTTGTCGACAAACTGCTGGAGCTGTCTTCTCTGCTGCATGCAGGTTCAGTCTTTTATTCGGCAGATTCTTCTTTATTGTTCTTTCTCCTCAAACCATTTTTACTACAATGCACTCATCACCAAAATTTATATTAAGTTAGGCATTTTACCTACTTTAGTGGTATGTCAAAAATGGTGCATAAAACTTGATAGGGGAGGTGCTCAACCAAAGTATACATTCATAAATTTTTACTCTTTTCTTGTGTATAGACATTTATTCAACCTAACCCCCTCAATGCACACATGTTTATATGTAGATGACTTAAAAATGAAATTTTCTTAATTCCAACTAGTCCAAGTTCACAATGATTTGGTCTTGGATCCGATGTCTTAAAATGATGATGTGCACTCTTATTAAGTCTTTTTGACCTTCTTTACCACTTATGCCCTGTTTTCACAACTTTTACATCATATATTCTTTAATGTTTTGTTTTACCATCAGCTGGATAGATACAAAGCTAACATCTCCAATATTAAAAATATTTGTTTATTAATTTTAGAATGTAAGTTTGTTGCTTGATCAGGTGCAATGTGAGATAAAGAGCTTGCTTTTTTTTCACAAAGATATTCATTTAAATTTAATTCCATGATTTTGACTTGAACTTGAATCAATTCAGGTTTGTAAGAACAGAACTTTCCACACTGATTTAGCTTTTTAAAATCTTGAATACTTCCTAAGAGTATCATTAGACATATGGTCAAGGTCTAAAGTTGAAACTTTTTTCATAAATGACTATTAGTAATAATTAAAAGTTTCAATGTTTCATCAAGCAATAAAATTTGGAAAAATTATGTTACATGGTTAGTTTTACACAAACATTTTTCCCACACCTGCCTTTACAAAGTTTCAGTTGAGAGAGCACAATCATTTTGTTTAGAGGTCTAAGACTATCAATTAGACATAATTGCTAAAAGTTTCAATAAGATAATTTTAAAATATATTGTGCTATTATTTCTGATAAAAAGATCTCACAAATGCTCATTCAAGTAATATATTATATATAGTGTAGATAAAGCAGTGAAATATTTTAAAATATGAACTAACTACATGATAAAAAAAAGTGAAAGAACTATGATTTGGCTCATACAATGTTGTAGGAGATTGTGTTACTAATGAAATATATTTCATTTTAATAAGTTACAGATATTGTAATCACGTTAGGCTACATTTGGTTAATTTATTTATCGAAAATTCTATCAAAAATCAATTTTCTATCTGATCACTCTCAGTTCTTGTACTGAAATGAAGTTGTTTCTAAAAAGATTTTTTCAGTACAGTTTATAAAGTTTCATCATGAAAATTATTTTTAAATTATTCAACCCTCAAGTTTGAAAGAACATGAATTATTACCACCCAGTGAAAAAAGTATTATCTTATGGTTTTCTTTAAACAATGTCAATTTTCTATTAATTTACTTATGTCTCCAGTGGATTAAAGTCACATTAATATCAATTTTAAATTTAAAACATGCTATTTGTAATGTAAAAATTTGTTGTACTTTATGAATCATTTCAGGAGCACCTCAGGTAGACCCAGATGGAAAAGAGGTAGTTTTTCAGAAATTTAGATAAAAGTCCTTGCATTAACAAACAAAAAACTTGTTGCTAGCGTTTAACATTCTTACATTCTTTCAATTTATTTTTTTTAAAGGAAAATAATATTATATTTGGACAACTCCTATAAATTATATGTACTAGTCATGACTGTACTTTTCTTATGTGAAAATTTCACCATTTCCATTTGAATTGGCTCAGGTTCAGCTTGGAGTACAAAGACTTAAATTTTATGGAATAAAGAAAAAATACTTAATATGCATAGATTAAGACATGATTAGTTGTCATTAATTTTTGTATGTTTTGACAATCTTTAAACATATTTTGAATTTGATACAATTTTTGGTAATTAATCTCAAACAAATATGAGTTTCAAAAATATACCTATTCAAAAAAATTCTCACCAACCACATTTTATTTTTTCAGATATATGATGAGTTCAGTAACCGTAAGTGAAACTATATGTATGTGTATGTCCAGGTTGGTGTTATTAAATATTTTATTGATGGTTTGGAACAATTTCAGTGCTATATTTATCAGTCAAATTAGCTGAAACAAGTTTAGAACATGGATACGCAATATAATCAGTTATAATTCAACATCTCTCTAGAACATTGTGAAGTTACTTTTATTCAATCCAACCCTTTTAAACAAAGGCTCTGACCCTTCATAGTCTAAATTATTAATTTTTTAAAATAACTTTTTCTGTCTTCCAGTGTCGCCTTTGATGGCTCATCTCAAGAGAACATGGAAAGAAATGAACATCTTCAAACAGGTAAATTGTTCATTATTATTTTATGGTGTTAAAAATGATAAAAAAAATATACTGGATAAGAAATTATGAAATTCCATAAAAAATTGTATGATTTTTAAATACCCTAATTAAATTTAAGCAAAGAGTTTATGTTTAAAATTTGGCTTTCTTTATAAGAATTTGTATATCAATATTTCTATACAGTTATATTACTAGATCTCATACTTCACTTAACGATACAGTTTGAAATGCAATCATATTTGACTGAGAAATAAATAGTTCTTCATTAACGAAATAATTTGTTATCTGTAATCAACCCAAGAAGCCTGAATTCTTGTTTTAATAAATACAAAATCATACACTTTATGGAGACAGAATTCTATGGGATGTGCTTCCATTTTTTTTTTTACGTTACATTTGTTTTGTTATTCATTTGCATTTTAAAAACTTTCAGTCTCTTCAATATAGGAAATAATGTTAAAACTTGTATTTTTTTTGTTCTAGAAAATCCAAGACCCCTCCAGAGAGAAACTCCTTCCAGACCCTTTAAAGTATCCGTACATACAGCCACCCTACACACTTGTGATTGAACTTACTGGTGTACTCATTCATCCTGATTGGACAGTGAGTGGAAGTTTTCTGCTATCTATGCATCTGTCACTTCAGCTTCTAGTTAAAAGCATATACAGGGATTTGACCATCTTCTGTTGCAAGAATAGGAACTTGTATTTAAAAAAGGATAAATTCAAAGCACTGTATGAATTCTATGAATCATGCTTTCATATAAGTACCTTTAATTTCTATGTTAACTATCATATAATAATCTTACAAAAAGAATTATGTAAGTATTAAAAGTAAAAATATTTTGTTTACTTTTTTTTATGAATCTTAAGATCTCAATGACACTGACTAGTTTCTTAGCCTAGTATACCTGCTCAGTCACAATTTATTAGCACAAGTATACATTATTTAGTTTGGTGACAAAATGACAGGCACTCCAATTACAGAAGAATGCATTTATCACCAAAAAATGCATTTTTATACTTAATGTCTAAACCTCAAAATTACATTTAAGGCAGTTAGTAATCATTCTTGACAAAATTTGGCACATTTATTCTTTTGGACCTCAAGAGACAACTCAACTACTTTCAGGTCACACTGTCCTTAAAAACCTGTGACGGTCTAATTGACTGATTGTGAGATAAATATTATACACCTGGTCTTACCTTATTTTTTATTTATATGTATGTGCATTTCATGGAGATTATGTTTGCATTAATTTTCCAACCAAACTTTTCATGTATCTAGTATGGAACTGGCTGGCGGTTTAAGAAGCGTCCTGGCATAGATTACTTTCTCCAAAATGTTGGACCTCCATTGTTTGAAGTGGTCATTTATTCTTCTGAAGCTGGCATGGTCAGTATAAAACAGGTTTTGTCGTTAGTCTATTTTAAATTCTTGATTTGCAATGAAGCTAGTAAACAAATTATAGCATGAGTAGGGTGGTGAAACACAATATAGCAGGTTGAATCAAATCATTGATTGCTTGTGGGTTTTTTTAAATTTTACTGGACAAGACCATCCATTATATCTATTTAACTGTTGTCATTTATTTAAGTTTAGCTATATTATCCCATCAAAATAATTCTGTATGCTATTATTGTTTGTTAATCTCATGGAATCATTTTTCTTATGATATGACTGTAATACCAAATAACTGTTTCTTTATGATATAACTGTAGTTTCAAACAATTGTTTTTGTTATAATATCAATAATTGTTTTTGTTATATTCAGACTGCAGATCCCTTAGTTAATCACCTAGATCCACAAGGCTACATTATGTATAGACTTTATCGAGATGCTACTCGATACATGGAGGGACATCACGTCAAGGTATTAAACCTTACTATACATTACCATAATACTATTAAATATAAGGTAGACAGGATTTTTAGTAATAAATATTTTATGAAGATATCACAAACAAATGTTTTTTCATCCGGCTGATCAATTATAATTTGGTTGTAATTTCTTACACTCATTCTTGTATTTTAAGCTAAATTGAATCTTTTTTCTCTCCATAATTTGCTCATTGCTCTACTTTCACTTGCTCATCATTTGGTCACCTAAAAATAACATATTATTTCTTAGTTAAGTATTATAGTATAATGTAAAATATATTGACAGCTCATTTCCTTATTGAATATTTTTTTATGATGTTATTTTGTTTCACTTCGATCAGGATCTTTCGTGCCTGAATCGGGATATGTCCCGAATCATTATGTTGGACTGTAACCCAGAATCTGTTAAACTACAAAATCGAAATGCTTTTGTGCTCAAGAAATGGACAGGGGAAGATGAGGACAGAACTTTAATAGATTTGGCACATTTCCTTAAAAGTAGGTTTTTCAAACAAATTTATCCATTAACTTGAAAAGAAACTAGAACATTGCTATCCAGCCTTTTTTGACCAATGGCCCAAAAAGTGTTTTCCGGAAACCCGAGGGCCGCAGATGACATTTTAAAAGAAAATTATTCATATTATTTATACTTCTTACTTATGCATAAGAGTCATATATCCAAATAGCATTATCGGCTCATCAAGAAAATAAATAAAACTAATCAAAAGCTTTTGTGACCTCCTCCTTTTCTATTTTACAACTTCTCCTGTGCTCTCACAACAATGCTGAAGCAATGAATGTGGTTTGAAAATATTGTCACCTTCAAATGTTTTATTTTTTTACACACATCATAATAATTTCTCAAGCTGTGACATTTTTGTATTAAAATAAATTTTTTGTTCCTTAATTCGTATTATACCTGGATCACATTATACACTCTATAATAGACTGTAAATGCAGCTAATTATTATTTAAATTTACTGGTAATGAAATGGAATCTTGTTAGGGATATGCTAGACTAGGACCTCAGCGAGATGCTATTACAAATTCATTATTTAATTTACCTTAAAAAAATAATAAAAATCTGCCATGACCTGCACATAAGCCACTCATCCCACTAATTCTCCCCTGAAATATTTTTTCAAAATTCGGCTCCAGAATACTACAGTAATTTTAATGGGTGTTGGGCTTTGAAACAGCTGATGTAGATTGTGTTTCCTCACAGTTTGTGTCTTATAAGACTTCCAAGCTATTTTCTTAAAGCTAACCCATGTCTGCGACTCCCCAGCTATTGCTGCCAGTGGAGTGGATGACGTCAGACCAGTCTTAGATTACTACAATAAGTTTGATGATCCTCTGTCAGCTTTCAAGGACAATCAAAGAAAACTACAGGTAGGACATTTTGATTTGTTTTTAAACTAATTTTACAATTGTAAATTTCTTATATTTATTTATATAATAAAGAAAATTATTATATATAAAATTAAAAAATTAAACATATTTAACCTTTACAGGTCTAATCATATTTTTAAAACCATTTTTAGTTGACATATTTCTACAGTAGTTCTGTTACTTTCCAATGTAAAGCTACCCTATAATATTCATTTGCTGATAAACACTCTTGGCTGTGCAAGATAAGATAAAATGTAACTTATTTGAGATGCTGAGACCAATAATTATAAACCCAAATGTTTTTAATCTTGCTATCAATTGGTAAAATTGAGGAAAAATCCTCAACCAAAGTGGAATAAATCTGGAAACCTAGTTTTATATATATACATATTATAAACAATCATACATGTCGATGTATTATATATTATTTGAACAGGAGGAAGAGGAGGCAAGAGCCAATCTGGCCAAAGGAGAAGTCAAGAAAAAGGGTTGGTTGTCTGGGCTCACAAGTAAACGATCATAGTTGAATGTTGTATGGATCAACTCACTGATCAACATTTGTTAGACTTCTCAGTGATCAACTTGTGTTTGACTTCTCAGTGATTACCTGTGTTTGACCTATGACATTGATCATCATGTGTTGAACTTCCAGGTCGACTTGTCTTGTGTCAGTGCTAAACATGTATTTTGGTCACATCTTGATGAATATATATATATCTACTGTATATTCTAGAGTGAATGTGTCTGATTTAATGTTGCTTGGTAAATGAGACTTTGTAGATTGTTAGAGTGCTTCATATTTTGATGTTCTTCTTTGATAGAATGTTCTTACCAGTAAGAAGTAAGTGGGTTTATGTTTCACTAGTTTGCCTGCAATATTTCTTGGTCTAATCAATTTCTTATTACAATCTAAGGTTCTAGGAAAAAAAAACACCAAAATTTGAGCAGGATATTACGAGTATTGGATTGCATTTTTTTACACAAATCTAACTAGCTTAGGTGGCTACAGTGTTTGCAAGCTTGAATTAAACCAGAGTTGACTAAAGTTGGCCAGAGGAGTTAACCAAACTTGACCAAATCAAGTTTTTTAAAACACAATAATAAATGATTTTTCATGGTATATTGTTACAAAATGTGATGTATCTGTATTCAATATTTTTATGAAGTGATTTTTTAATAAATTTTTGTTCACAAAAAAAAAAATGAATGGAAGAAATGAAAAGGTTGATGTTTGTTTGCCAGGATAATGCAACTTATTGGATTGTTAAACTTACTTCAGATACCAGTTTAGTGATTATGTTCGAATTTGATTTTTTTTTTTTTTTACAGTGATATTATTTTTAAAAATGGCTTTAAAATATGTTAAGTTAATTACTTGAGTGACAAAGCCATTGAATAATATCCCAAACACAATAAAGTCCACTCTGGCTGTTGCATATCCTGGATACATTTGTTAGTTAAAAAAAAACATTTGGTTTATGTCTGAACATTTATTTAAAAAAAAGAATTGAATTAAAATATTGATATATAACCAAACACTGCATCTGACTGACGTTATTGGAATGGTATGTCACAGACCTGTCTACCGGAACAATTTTATCGTATTTGGCACCCTTAATAGGAAAATATGATTTTAAATAATATTATGACTAAAAAGTGAGTCATTGTTGAATTATTCTTGCAAGTTGTGTCCCCTCTATTTGATTTTCTGTGGGGTTATCTGATTTTTTTTTTTTTAAATATTTTTTTATGAATAAGTTGAGGCAGTCTATGATTAAAAGCAAAGAAGACAATAAAATGGCACTTAATCAAAGGAAATGAAACTTAAGGAATACCCTGTTGAGTGGTATAAGTTTCCCATAGTTTATTTTTTGTTTTAAACTGGTTAATAAACAATTTGATGAAAACCGGCAGCTAGCCTGTTTGGTAGATTTTTTAATAGGTAGGCTATTTACAGATCACCTTATGTATGAAGAAGGCAAATGCCCGACCGCAAGAAGCATACTCCAAAGAGGGTACAACCTGGCAGTAGAGAATTCACTTACCTTGGGTCCAGTGGCGTAAGAATTGGGGAAAGGGGGGGGGGGTGTTAATGTCCGCAAGTTGTGGCACTGTTTTAAGGGGGGGGGGGGGTCCTGTCCGCAAGGGCTGGCACGGGTTTA